CCACATCCATCCCGGGTGCTTGTGGAAAACGTGCTTGCATCCCTCTGCAGCTCCGTGTCTTCCTGGCTCTGCTCTCCAGCCCTGGCAATCTGCTCCCACCAGCTTGTCCTTCTCTTGCTGCCTCTGCTCCCCCAGCGATGCCCTGCTTGGTTTTCCAGAAAGTCCAGGCACCACTGCCAAGCTCCCATGACCTCCAAGAGGGGAACAAGTGGGAGCACAACAGGGTCTCCCCTCCAGCCCCTCCGGCTGTTTTCCACTGCCTGTGTCTGTGTGAAGCACCCAGAAGACCATACCCACAGCTCTAAACCCATTTCGCAGCAAACCTGAACAGCGGCTGCCACTGCCCCACTGCACGGGGCCAAACGCCGTCTGACACCGCGGGCGCTTGCCAGGAAAATGCCCTGAAACCCCCACCATGATCGACAGAGGTGTCCAGGAGCACAGTTCAAAAAATATAATGACGTGCTTGCGTTTGGCCCGGTATCCAACTATTTCACCCCGATTCAAGACGCCCTGTGCTTGGCCCTGCAGAGATGCATGGATCAAACCTTGGCACAGGTGCGGCTCAGGCACTGGCTTCAGCTGCAAGGCAAGGGGCTGCGAGCCGCCCCTCTCCTCTTCCACGCGCCACGCAGCGCATTTTGGGGTTTGCAGCCACCAGCCCTCTCCAGAGGAGATTCTCCTGTGCTTTGACAGCGCGTTTTTTGATCAACAAATAACTGAGAAACGTTTAAAGCCCGCAGCTCCTACGACGGGGGGTGCAATCTCCCCCCAGCCGCTGCCATATGGGCAGGCGATGAGAAGCAGCTTGTTCTTCCAGGTGCAGCCTGCACGGGTATGAAACGCTGCAGGACGCTGGGGACACCAGCCATCCCTCCCCGCCAGCGGGCAGGAGCGTGCCGGAGCCCTGCGGCACAGCCTCGGCCATCCCAAGCCATCAGCCGGCAAAGGCAGATCCACTGGGAGCAGAAACAGATGTCCCCGTTGCAAAATCCCAAGACCACGTGCTGCGAAACAGGAGGCGGCAACGCCAAGGGACCGCCGGGTCTGTCTGAGGGAAACCGCCTGCACGCTC